TTTGTTTGTTTGTTTGTTTGTTTATTTGTTTATTTGTTTATTTGTTTATTTGTTTATTTATTGCATTTATTGCATTTATATGCATTTATATCTAGACATAGTCTACTCTGGGCGGCTCACAACAACGTGGTGGTATTCTGCTCTCGAGCAGGGTGGCCACCTGAAATGGGTTTTCAGTGTGTGCAACAAAAATAGAGTTTTTTTTTTAAATATAAGTTTTTAAGGTGTGTTTTATCTCTTTCTTTGCTCCGTTTCTACGCAGAATATATACTGTATGTGGAAAGGAGGCAAGGACAACAAATGGCGGAAGAAACAAAAATTAGTTATACAGTATAAGATAAATAAGGTAAGGTAAGGAGATGACACCTTATGACCGGCAGAAGATACAGTAGCAACCACTTGAAAGCCACTAAAGAAGTTTAAAGAAGAAAGTGCAAAAGCAGGGTTACAGTTGAATGATAAGCCAGACATAATGAGAGCAAAAGAACTGCATGATTTTAATGTGGACAATGAAGAAATTGAAGTGATGACAAACCCCTTGGTTAAGTTATCAGTTCAAATAGAAACTAGAGCAGTTGTTCCTAACCTTGGATAACACAGGTCCCAGAAATCCCAGCCAGAATTGTAGTCCGAGAACATCTGGGTTACCCAAGGTTGGGAACCACTGGACTGGATCCCAAAAATTCAGACTTGAGCCTTGGAAGGGGAGCTATAAAGGAATCAGAAAAGTTCCTCAAGTGCAAGGATGTGTCACTGGAGATCAATATGAACATCATCTACACACCATAGTATTCCCAATTAATATATATAGATGTGAAAACTGGACAGTGAAAACTGAGAGGAAAAAATATAAATTAATTTGAGATGTGGTACTGGAGGAGAACTTTCCTGATACCCTGGACTGCCAGAAAGATTAAAAATTAATCTTAGATCAAATCATGCCTGCATTCTTTTCAGAGGCAAAAATGGCTGAACAGAGGCTATTGTACTGATCATTGGGGGGGAGACNNNCTCCCAGGAAGAGACTGTTATGATAGGAAAAGTTGAAGGCTGCAAGAGAAGAGGAAGACCCAACGTGAGCGGGAACAACTCCATAAAGGAAACCATGGCCTTTAGCCTGCAAGACCTGAGTTAAGGATAAAACTTTTTGGAGGCAATTTGGTTGCCGTAAGTCAGAAACAACTTGATGGCACTTAACAAAGGCTAGCCAATTTTATTTCAGTGAAATATTTAGCCACAGGTTTATAGACAACAATGCATTGTGGGTATGGAGCTCTTGTGAAGGCTCAGAAAATGACATTTCAAAGTCACAGCAATGTTTTCGACACAAGCAAAGAATTTAAAGTACTGTATATAAATATCCTGGTGAATCTCTCCCTAACACACTTTCTCTATCCCAGAAATGTTTTTTTCACCCCCATATGGGGATTCCTTAATGCAGGAACAAGCAAGATGTCACCGAGGTGGGCAAGGAGTTTTTGTTTTTTTTGTAAAAGCTATGAAAAACATATTATCTTATAATAGCACACCTTAGAAATACCATGAATGAAACCAAATGCTTCAGCTTTCCTTTATGCACCAAACCATGCTTCCCTAGATTTTCTTCGTTAAGTTGTGGGGCTCAACTTGTGTCTGACAGTTTCTACTATCCGCAGTATTTCTCCCCTGTGGGGTTTAAAAGACCACTCCAGAGTTTCTTGACTCCCATCACCTCCCATCACCGTTATTATTTTGCTTATTTGGCATAGCCTTTAACTTCAAGTTTGCAACAGCATCCCGTGAGGGCCCGAGGCGAGATGGTTTGGTATGTGTAATAAATTAAAATGAATGGAGAGAGGGAGGAAGGAAGGAAGGAAGGAAGGAAGGAAGGAAGGAAGGAAGGAAGGAAGGAATACAGAAGCTGAACCGCCATTCATCATACTCATTTG